AAAAACCATGCACATGCTGCATCCTACACCACTTGTCTATTTTGTTTTTATATAAAAAGTAAAATTTATTTTTTAAATGACTTTGTGTTCACTGAAACATAATCTTTGTGGTATGTGTATCTCAGTCTGAGACTACAGGGGCATGGCATCTCAACACATATAGGGATCTTATCACATTGCTTGTCTATTATTCATACCCATGAAGAACTTTGTGTACATTTTATAAATAAGAATCAAAAACTCAGGAGTAAATAATGTTTTATCTTATTGAAAGATATTTTAGTGCGTAAAGAGTCAGGAGTTTTAGTCACCATGTATAGAACTGTGTGTTAATTATTACTACATGTTGCTCTATTCAAAAGCACTTATTTGAGCAACTTTTACCTGTAAGACTTGGCTAGATCACAAGGAACTCTCCAGCTTGTTAAGGAAAAAAATACATCCTTTAGAGTTGCTGTGATGTAAGTGAATACAAGAGTTCTAAGTAGTGTGGACAGGTTCAGAGAGCTAGATTAAATTAAATCTAGTTAGATCTTCTGTAGAGGAAATGAAATGTAAGATGAGCTTTGAAATATGATTAAAATTTTAATGTAAGTAAAATGAATAAATACTTTAGGGGTATAACTCAAACTATATCTGATTTTCTCTTCAAGAGTTTGGAGGGCCAATTATTTTAATGTCTAGCTCAGAGGAAACTTACTAAACAGTCTGGTCAGTACATCACCAGTCTTACAGCTGCATGGAAGCATACACATGTACAAATGGCTTTCCCTTTCTTCTCACAGTGCTCTCCTGTATATGAATGACGATTTTGAAGGAGGAGAATTCATATTCACTGAGATGGATGCTAAGACCGTGACTGTAAGTAAACCAATCCTACAAATTTGTTTAGTACTTTTGATGTCTGTATTGCCATTTTTCTAAGGACTCACAGACCGTTGTATTTCAGATACTTCTGAGCTCAAAAATTCAAGAGGTAGAGAGATTCCCAATAAATCTATAGATTATAACTGTTAGAAATGAAAATGTCCATAAAATTTTTCTAGTCCATTGTAAAAACAGGCAAATTAAAGAATAGAGATATTATGCATTTTATCATGATCATATAGCTAGTTAGTGTTAGACTTGGAACCAAAACACAGGTCTTCTGATTCTTCATCAAATAATCTAATGGAAACATAAAAACATTGGTTCCTAAGTCACCCAAGTCTAGGGATAAGTCAAATGATTCTACAGAATGGCTTTCAAGTAACCTGATATTCTACATACTTGGGTTGAGCATTGGCTTCAAATACTTAAGTTACCAAAATTATCATGTATGTGTGTATATATACAGATAGACATATATGTATATACCTGTACTTGACAATTGATACACATACACACACACAAATATGTAAATCAAAAGTTAAATTCAATCACCATCTTCCTAAGCAAACCAGTGCCTTTAGAAAACCAGCCTACTTAGCACTTAAAGACCATCTAGTTAGCATCCTTTGGTCTTTAAGCCAAAGAACACACACAATGGTAGAAAAACAGGTTTTCCAATTGAGGAAATAATCAAATTTTAGATTATGAGATATCTTTTTACACCATGCAAAATTTAAATAGTGGGATACGTATGTGATAAACTTCAAAGTTCTGGCACTATATAAGCTATTTCCCAAACTCTTCCTGAGTTTTATGCTTTTCTCCTCATAGCTTGCATGCTTTTCTCAATAGCAAAACTTATATCACTCCAACACACAAATACTCATGAAACACTACTGAGACATAAGCAGGTAATATAAAAAACTATGTATTATTGTGTTTAAAGGTGATTCCTATGGGGATTCTAGTTAAAATTGTCTGGAAACATCGTTATAATTAAGAAAAAGTATTTCAGGCAATTTAATACAATAACGTATGTTTAAAAGGTCATGATGTCTCACTTTTTCAGAAGAGCTTAAATATTGACATGGGAGTATTTTAATACTTCATAATCTGGGTAATTAAATCAAGATTGATGACCTGGGTTCAAGTTTAAAATCCCTATGCAAGATTTTCACCTCTGAAGGAGCTTGCGTGTAGAAAGAATTTGATTTCTGAGCTCTGCTAAGATGAAACTGGGTACAAAAACGCTGCCATCTCACAGTTTAAAAGAAAATCCAAGTGCCCATCAATACATGAGTGGATTAATAAAATGTGGTATATGTATGCTATGGAGTTCTACTCAGCCACAAAAACCAATGGTGATCTAGCACCTCTTGTATTATCCTGAATAGAGCTGGAACCTATTCTACTAAGTG